AACTTGACAGAGAGCGGGGGCGGGGCCGACCCGCCGGGGCGTGGCCTTATGACGTATAGTCACGTGTCCCCTTGACGGTGGCCCATTGGTTACCCATTACCGCCCTTTTCCGGGGCAAGAAGACTGGTCGCAGGCCCGGAGGCGCGGCAGCTCTCGGGTTCGAGACAACGAAGCCGTTTAAGGCTGAGCGAGCGACCTGGTGCCATTGGAGCCGGCTAGATTCTTCACTCAGGCTCCTGCCCCAGTTGGAGAACAACTTCCAAAATTCGGGCGGCCTAGGGAAGGGCGCTGAGTCGGATCGCAAAGTACACGGCGCCCATCGCAACAGCTGAGCTACTGAGAGCCACCGGAAGCCCCGCCCCTGGGAGGAGCCAGAAAGCCTAGCGGTGGAGGAAAGAACCCCACGTACTGCCCCCGGGGCGGAGCACGCCGGCCATGGCTAGGCCCCCGGGGGCTGGTCCCGCGGCTCTGCGCTTTGCTGCGGCTGCTTGCTGGCTGGTTGTACGCGGACGCTATGTGGAACATTTCCCGCGAGTGCTGGAGTTTCTGCGATCCCTGCGCGCTGCTGCCCCTGGCTTGGTTCGCTACCGCCACCACGAACGCCTATGTATGGGTCTAAAGGCCAAGGTATTAGAGCCCGGGAACCGGGAAAAAAGAGGAAGGGGCGGGATGCAAGGACCTGACTGGGGCAGACCGCTTGGGGAGTTGGACCGGTAGCAAAACGGGAGCTTGCTCGGAAGTGGGAATTCTTAGTTCAGTACCATTCACAGGTGGTAGTGGAGCTGATCCTCCAGGGCCGGCCTTGGGCCCAGGTTCTGAATGTCCTGCATCACCATTTCCCAGAGTCTGGGCCTGTAGTGCGGGACCCCAAAGCTGTGAGTAATGTCTGAAACAGTCCCCACCCCCAGTTAACCCTTGGTGCCCCTAACTTGTCTGCCTTCTTTACCTTGAAAAGACAAAGCAGGATCTGAAGAAGATCTCGGAGGCACAGGAAGCCTTTTGCCAGCAGGTGAAGCGGCTGGCAGAAACCACTGTGGATTTGGCTTGGAAGTTGCAGGTGAGGCTGGCTAGTTTGGAAAGTATGATGTGGCTTTCTTCTCTAGTCCTCTTCTGACCTGCTTTTTTCTATTCTGCAGGAACTTGAACAAGAGTATGGGGAACCCTTTCTGGCTGCTATGGAGAAGCTATTTTTTGAATATTTGTGTCGGCTGGAAAAAACACTGCCTACCCCACAGGCACAGCAGGTTTTCCTGGGGCAAAACACAGAGGGCAGAGTGTGGGGTGGTTGGATCAAGGACTGTAGTCTTCATGCTCTTTCCCCGCCCACAGCTTCAGGATGTGCTGAGTTGGATGCAGCCTGGGATTTCTATCACGTCTTCTTTTGCTTTGAGCCAATATGGTGTGGACATGGGGTGGCCATTTCCAGGTACCAGGACCATCTGGGAGAATTAGGAATTTGAGGGTGGAATGTTTAGCTTGAGACCTTTTGAGACAGCCAGTTCATTAGAAGAGTTACATGTGTCTAAGACACAAGAAACCAGACTGAGTTGATATGTTACTCTCTGTTCTCTTTATAAGGAACTTTCTTTTCTTTTTAGAGTGCTCTATTACTAATTCAGTTAACATGACAGAGCCCATGGAGCTGAGTCCGCCTCAGCAACCAAGACCAGCACTCCATCAACCTCTGCCAAAAGCCAAGCCTGGCCCATACGTTCCTCAAGGACCAGCTTCAAGGAAGCATCCAGAACTTTTGGCTGGCCACCACTTCAATCTGGCCCCTCTAGGCCAGCGAAGAACCCATTCCCAGTGGGCATCCACTAGGGTAGGCCATAAGGAACGCCCCACAGTCATGCTATTCCCCTTTAGGAATCTGGGTTCACCAACCCAGGTCATATCTAAACCTGAGAACAGGAAAGAACAAGGGACACACATGGCAGTTCCAGCAGGTGATGCCGGCACAGGAGCAACCTCCACTGGGAAGTCTAGGAGTCCATCCCAGTCCCTGGGCGGAAGGACTGTGGAGAACCCAGTTGACTTGTCTGCCTCGGAGCAAAAGGAGTGAGCGCACCAGTTCCTTCTGCCTACTAGCGGCACATTTCTTGCCTGCTTTGCCTTCATCCTATCTTCTTTGCTTGTTTTTACCCCAGGAATAGCTGGGACTGCCCCTTGGAGCCCCTGAGACTGTCATTATCACCTCCTAGGGCCAGGAAGCCAGGTAGGTATACTGTGTCAGGACTGGATCAGACAGCCTCCTCTCTTGGGGGCTCTTGAGGGCCTATGTTCACCTAGAAGAGTATTTTGACTCTAGTTTCCTTCCTGCAGTGTGTTCTCCATCTCTGTGCAGCCCTGTCATTACCATAGGGGACTTGGTTTTGGATTCTGATGAGGAAGAAAATGGCCAGAAGGGAGGAATGGTGAGTAGAGAGGAACAGAACACTGGGGAAGGAAGGGGATGGGGCAGAACAAGACAGAAACTTCCATGCTCCCAAATGCGGAGGGCTCTGGGAATGTTCAGATGACAGGATCTCCCTGCTCCCTTCTCTGCAGGAGTCTCTGGAAAACTATGAGAAGACAAAGTTTGACACCCTAATCCCCACCTTCTGTGAATACCTCCCCCCTTCTAGCCCCAGTGCTGTGTCTGTCCCTTCCCATGACCACATAGACTCCTCTGATAAGACTGGAATACCATCTGCATCCTGCCTTTCTCCTTCCTCCTCACCTCTACAGGCAGTTTAGTGGGAATAAAGTGGAATCCCAGGCTTGGGTTGCTTGACTACATGCCCCAAATTACTTTGTAATGCTTGATAATTAAACTTTGGATTTGTTAAAACACTGTGTTGGTGTGAGGGAGGGGAATTAGGCTTCTGTAAGGTCAGTGTAGATCATTCCTTAGAAACAGGCCTCTCCAGGGCTAAAAGAATCCCTTTGCCCTTTACTTCCCTTGGAAAGTGTTCTTCAGTTGTACCAGAAAGATTACCACGGGAAATTTCCTTTTGCTATTCTGAAAATGTTTGTCCTGACACCACAATATATACTCTGTAAATTCTTATGCTGCCAGGTTATCTGAGGGTTGGTGTCACTTGAATGGAGATGCTGCATGGGAAAAGTACTCACTATCCTTGACTCCACTAGGTCAGTGGCACCTCCACCTCCACTTTCCTGGAGCAGCACCTGCATGCCAGGCTTGTGTGGAAAGCCCCAGAATATCTTTATAGTCATTGGGATCTCTATTTATAGAGATATTTTAAAAATATAAACACTTCTGAGCTTTTTAGATTTCAGAGATCATATTTAATGCAGCTGATTAGCAAGACATGATTCTAAAAGCCTACCTCTTAAGACCATGGCCATTTATAAAACATTTATGTATGAATCAGTATATTCCCATTTTATTATCTTAACTTCATTTTCTCAGCCTGTCTTCCTTGCTTGCTCCCTAGTGAGTGCCGCGGGCATTTTGTGGGTGCCAATAGAGAAGTACAGCATTACTGCAGGAATGCTCATGAGTGCAATGACCAAGTAATAGTCATAGTAGCTGGGATGGGTGAGAGGCCTACTTGGGAGGCCCTGTGGTTTGGTGCTGGTGCCTTCGGACGGCAGAACTCAAGCCTAGCACATGTCACTGAATCTTGGATTCACCTGCTAGGTGACATGGATGAAGGTAGTTCTCCGGCTCAGTTCCTTCAGCTTAGCTGCTCCTACGTAGGTACACGTGGAACGGATGCCTCCAAGTATGTCTCGGATGGTATGTTCCACATCCCCTTTGAAGGGCACCTCCACCGTCTTTCCCTCTGAGGCCCTTAGAGAAGGAAAAATTTTTCTTACCTCTCTAGATTCCTTAAGCCCAGTGACTCTTCCCCAGTCCATAACATTAAACCCTGGTTCACCACTTTTCTCCCAAGAACTATACCATCCATCTCCCAACAGCCCTGAGTTCTGCTACCACCCTACTTGGTGACACCTTCCAAGAACCCTCAGCTTCTGGGCCTCTACACATACCTGTACTCAGCAACTCCCCCAGCATACTTCTTCATGGCTGTTTCAGAACTCATTCCATAGAAGAGCTTGTACTTCTTGCCATCCCTCTCGATGAGCTCACCACCTGACTCACTGTGCCCAGCCAGCATGCCACCCAGCATTACGAAGTCAGCCCCTGCCCCTATCAATGAGGGGGGAAAGAGATGAATCTGGCCCAGATGTCCACTTGCGCACCCACCCTCAAAAGCAATCACACCAAATCTCAGTCCTGACAATGACACCAGCATCTTCCTGGTTTTCTCTAGCTGGACCACAACCCACACAGGCCTGCTCTACCCTGGCCTCTCTTCCTCCATGGGCCTGACTTCTCCAAAAAAAATTTTAAAGCCACTAGAGATTCCCTGCCTAGCTTTGCTCTCTCTTTTTGCTGCTTTTGCTATCTTTTGTTCATTTCCTTTTACTGTGCCCAGCTGAATAAGACTGAGGTTTAGGCATTTACATTGCCCAACAGCCCAGGGGATGGTGCAGATGGTCCTGCCCACACTTGGGAGAGGCCATATCAGAGTCTTATCTGGCTCACCCCAGATAACACCACAGGCTTCCGGGTCACAAGTTTATATAATGAAAGAACCTGAATGGCTTCCTCAGCCTTAGCCTGATCCTAGACCCTCAAAGGTGATTCATCCTCTTCTATAGGATCCTTCTGTGCTCTCCGTCCTTACCGAAAGCCTTGGCCACATCTCCAGGACAGCTGCAGCCTCCATCCTGCAAAGTTAGAAGCAATGTGAAGAGAGGGCATGATTTCCCAAGCCCTCTTAACAATGTCCCAACAGCCCACCTCAAATCTCACAGGAACCCAGGAGTCCTGATCCACCTCTATCAAAGCTTCCATACCCAGCAAAAAACCCAGATGTTTGGCAGCCTCACACCCTACCCTGCCCTAGGACCTTACTGAAATGATGTGGCCTTTGAGGCCATGAGCAGCATCTGCACACTCCATCACTGCACTGAGCTGTGGATACCCCACTCCAGTTTTCTTCCGGGTGGTACACACAGAGCCTGAGAAGAATATGACAAGGATGAGGGTCAAGTACTCCACAGGTATTTGCCACTAAAGATGTAGCCAATAGCCCCCAATGAGCAAGCTTACCTGGTCCAATTCCCACTTTGATGATGTCAGCCCCAGAGAGGATCAGCTCTTCCACCATCTCTCCTGTTACCACATTCCCTGCCTGAAAGCAATCAAATCAGCATTCTTAGGGTCAGAAACAAAGAGGAGGTTGTGTGCTCTCAGCGCGCCTGGATCAGGACCTTCCAACATTATTACAAAGAAGGGTACCTGGGTTCCCTCTGCTGGGCCCTCTGAAAGCTTTTAGACTAGCCACTTCAAAGGACCCTGCTACCCCAGCTGAGGTAAGGGGGTTAGTGGCCAGTGTCACTGTTGCACTAGGGTAAAGCTGGGGTCCAGCTGGACCAAGATAAAATTAGATTTACAGTGGACTTATCTCTCCCTCCCTACCAAGAGATCCAAACATTTCCTGCCCTTAAGCTGTTATGTGATAAAACCTCTCCAGCTTAGGGAAAAAGGGAAGACAGGGTAATGTAGGCTAAATACTCATCTACTTAACTGTATTTTCTTTTGATGGACAGAAAAGACAGATCCCTCAATGCTATGAAGAAAGTGAAGCCTTGCCATCACCCCTAAGCTTGTAAAAAAAATAAAACATTGTTGCATATGATCCCTTTAATAGGATTATATTACCATGTCCATTTCAGTAGGCAGGTATATATGTATGACAGGTGTGTACAATGCATGAACACATCATGGTTTGGTGAGTGATGTCAGGAACACCGGATTTACAAAGACTATGTATCAAGGGTCAAAGACTGCAATGACCAATAAACATTTTAAGTATGGAGCCATGGATAATCACCCAGTGACATGATTAAGCAGACCAGGAAAATCATAAAGCAGCAGAGGAGATACGAACTGACAAAAACTGAGTGGCACAAAAGAGTGGAAGAGCGGGATGTACCAACTACAGGGTAATAGAAACATACCATGATGGTGTGTTCAGGGAAGCGTTTCCGTACATCCTTTACAAATTCAACGAAGTGTTCAGAGTAGCCATTTGCCACGTCCAGGCATATATATTTCACCTGGGGAATAGCTTCCAGGATCTTTTCCAGCTGCTCAAAGTCAGAAGAGCCTGTGCCTGAACTGGCAGCCAGATGCTGTGGAAGAAACGGGCATTGGCATGAGAGGCATTAGACAGCCTCTGGCATGTCTGAAATGACCTGATAAGCAGCCAATGGGTGGGGAGGTAAGGGCTGATCCCCAGGAAGCCAAGAAAAGATTCGTGGAAAAATGGGATAAGGAAGGGATCAGGGGAGGGCCAATATTACCTCAAGACAGTCAGGATTCTGGCTAGCAAACTCTTTCCACTGCTCGAGGCTGTAGTGTTTATGGACAGCAGTAAAGAGGGAGAACTGAAGAGAAGAAAGAGAGCCATCAAAAAGAAGAGAACTTTACGAGGGTCTCTTTTTCCAGAAATAGACCTTTATACTATTCTGAGGGGGGAAAAGGACCAAAGTCTGGAAAGAGAAACTTAAAGAACTCGGGTTGAGGTGAGATTTCTAGTTCAACCATTCATCTCTACAAGCCCCAGTATGACTTTTTACAATAAGCTAATACTGTCAGATACTTCTACCAGAGTACTAAGTTATCTGGTTTGGATTTCAACTGCCAGCACATAGAGTGCTTTTGACTTAAAAGGTGACAGGACAAGCTGTTGGTGCAGTGGGACAAGCAATAGACAAAGAACCCTGAAGACGCTGGACAGAGCCAGTGTCTGCCTACACTGACTCAGCCCTTCCTTCTATGGTAACCCAGTAGAAGACCTAACCTATTTTGGGTATCTTCTGGTCAACTTACCCGCAGTAATTCAGTTAGTCTAAATGCTCACAAAAGGTGCCCTGGCCAGGTGGCTCAGTTAGCTGGAGTGTTGTCCCATGCACTGGAAGGTCAAGGGCACATAACCTGGGTTGTGGGTTCAAACCCCTGGTCAAAGCGTACCCAGGAGGCAACTGATCAATGTGTCTCTCTCACATCAATGGTTCTCTTTTTCTCTGTCTCCCCCTTCCTCCCTCTCTCTAAAAAGATTAATATATTAATAATTGCTCACAGAAAGTAAGGTCTTAAGGTTACCAGAGCCAGTAAGATGCTACCCCATCCTTTCTCCATCTCCACTGGAGTAAAGAACAAATTTACTTGAGACATGGACCAACCTGAAAAGTTTATTTCATTCAGTCTATTTCAGTCAACCAAGTTCAAAGATATAATGACTCACTGGACTTGTATTTCCTAGCTCAGCAAACAAAATAATATCCCAATACTTTGAGAAAGGCATTCAAAGGCCACTGTGAATGCTGGTGTTTGTGCTTTAAAAGTGCATCATGCAAAAAGATGAGGCAGCAGTTGATGGAGACAGCACAAGTCTTACAACTGGCAAGAAATCCAAGGAAGTCATGCATAAGCCAGCAGTAAGGAAATGTTATTGTTATACTCAATCAGAGATCATCATCAACACTACCTAGCTAGTATTGAATTCTACTCTCAGCAACACTCTGCCATCAACATACTGACAAAGAAAAACCATTCTAGGAGGTCAGCAGACCTTGGAGATACACTGGCATAGTGTGGCATGATAAGCACATCCAATTACATACCAAACTAGAGATCTAGAAGAAGATGCATCGTTGCATTCAAACTTTTTATTATTACTGTGAGACTTGGCTCTATCTTGAAAATCTGATTTCTTTAACACTCAACAGTACTGAAAAGCCAGTCAACATAAAACATCAAGGCAGTGCCCATAAGTTCCATGTGTTACAGCAGGTCTGTTAATACTGAAGTCAGATTCACCATTCCTCAACTCTACAGGGCATCAGCAGGATTCCTAAATAGTTAGTGCACAGCAACAGCAATAACTATCAACCTCAGAGAAATGACAGCAGACATTCCACAAAGACTTACAGCAATAAAAAATAAAGGGAGATGAAGTCCTTAAGGTTAACAGCCTCAAGCAGCAGCAGAATCCATCAACCAAAGGCCACGTGGATCAACTAGAAGTTGTCCTCAAGAGTGCCCAGAGTAATTAACTACCTTCTCAACTACAAGTACAGAGGTAGGGTAACATTACTGACAAAAGTAGCATCTTCTACTTTGAAAGTGAACAATAACCTGTACATAGGAAAAACCCATTCCATTTTGGGCACATCCCAGAAACTCCCAGGAACCTAGGGCTTAAAATAAAAAAGAAGATTAAAAAAAAAAAAAGAATAGGCATATAATAAAATTAACAAGCTGCTTCTCTCTAGAGTCTTCTAGTTAGGAGTTTTTAAATGCTCAAACTGTATTTAGTTTTTTAACTAAAACAGTGAATGTTTAGTTTCCTAACAGTGGTGTAACTGGAGAGATGCCTGTGATTTGGAGGGGGTGATCAGGTTGGTGGGGAAAGTTGGCAAGGTGTATAAACTCTTGGACAGGAGGAAAAGGGAAAGTTCTTTTTATGTAGAGTGTCCCAAAAAAACGTGAACACACTTTGAATAATTATTAATTCCAATGGGTTAAATCTGAAAAGAAAAACCATCAATTGAACTTTCAGAAAAAAAGTGTGTATACATTTTGGGGGACACCCTGTATATCAGAAAAATAGGGTCAAAACTTAGCTTCGAATCCCATTAACTGACATGGCTCTTTGAACTTACCAGATAAAGGAGGTTTAGTACTGGAGAAAATAGTAAAGTGGAGCATCCGGACTGCTAATTGCCAGAGAGTTGACCTGGGATGGGGATGGCGATGCAAATAATTGCAGTCAACCCATAAAGCTGGACACCACTGAGGAAGTGGCATAAGAGAAGTCCTACCTTACAGAGGACCTTGGCCATCTCAAAGGTGCCCACAGTATCCATATTGGCAGCAATAATTGGGATCCCAGTGTATGTCTGCTTTGAGTTGCGAAATGAAAAGGATCTTGTAAGAGCCACCTGCAGATATGAACAGGAAACTGAGTATTTAATTCATCCAAAAAAAAAAAGTATTGGAGGAAAATACCAGGCATCTTTCTCAGTCCTGGCCCACCAAGGGAAGCGAGCTCACCTCACTTCGAGACTTAAGGGTACTGCGTTTGGGCCTCAACAACACATCTTTGAAGTCCAGTTTGATGTCGTTATCGATGTGAGGCATGGCGGGGGCCTCGGGGTAACAACGAATCTGAGGGTTGGAAGGTAAGAAAAGACACGAGGCGGGGGTAGCTGAATCAACAACAAGCCTTAACGCCCTGTTAGGGCTGGCAGCAGGGCCCAATTCTTTCCTCTCAAACTGTGGAAAGTCGGGGCATTGGTCACGGAGTGGTCGGTCCCTGAAGACCGTCACCTCCGACCCGTCCTATAGTCGCGATTACCCTCGGTGTCTCCATCCAAGGGAAGAAGAATTAAGATGGAGTCGTGAGTGACTCTAAAAAGGTACATTCCTTACACTACTTTTCCTTCTCCCTCCCCTGCAAAAAAGTAATTTGCGGTAAGAGAGTTATTTGGGGGCGAGAGGAATGGGGAGAGGAATCCCACAACCAGTTTCCGGAATAGGGGTACTCACTTCCTGTCGCCTTGGCCAAGGTGGCAGTTGACCGAAGCTCCCCTTGCTTAGCAACTAACCTAGCGCAGCCCCGCTGAGCCTCGTGGGCCACGCCAACAGGTTCCGTTAATTGCTGGCGAAATCGATTAACCGAGGAATTCCAGCTTCAGCGGTGGCTGTGCGAGGGCTTCTGGTTAACAAAAGTTCACACACTGAGGTTGCCGTTGGTCTGAGGAGCAGAAGACTACAACTCCCAGGGTGGAACGCGCGGAGTTGCCCCCTGGCATGATGGGAGAAGTAGTTCGTTCTGCCCCATCTTTCCACTAGACCCGACTCGCTAGGGACTCTCAGGATTGCGGAGGCGTCATCTCTGCTCCAACTAAACTGGCTGCCTTCTTTTTCTTTAGGACGCCACCGAAAGGGAACGCGTGGAGCATTTCTGAGCCTTTTGGGAACCCTGGCGAAAGAAGGGTGGGTGGGTGAGGGGTGGAGCCAGACAGTGACCCGGAAGGAGAAGTGACTCGCACCGACCGAGCGCTGGGAGCGGCAGCGGCCACCGCAGCGGTAGAAGTAGCAATTTATCTGTGTGCAGACCCAATATTGGACGAAGATGCTAATTAAAGTGAAGGTGGGAGCACCTCCAGCTTTGCCAAGACGCAGTGGTACTGGGCTGGCCGCTGTGCCTTACGGGAGGAGCAGGGAAGGGAAACCACGCCTTTCCCGAGGGCGCTGACAGTCTCAGGGCTTCGCGCGAGGGGCCATGGGAGGTAGAGGGACACTAAAGGCTTTTGATTTGTGGGGGGATGGATCAGGTAGATGACCGGATGGATCAGGTAGATGACCGCGGGGTTTCTGCCATTCCTTCTTTCTTGCCAGAAGTAACATGACCCCGAAGGAGGCCTCCTCTGTCCGGCTTCTCGCTATATTCGAACTCCCGAGGTCAGGGAGAAGGCCTAGCAGCAGCTTAGCTCTACTCTCTTAGCTTCTTGGAATAGGCTCTGATCTCCATTCTTCATGCCCAGGTTACCAGCTTCTCCCAGCCCCTAACACAGGCTGCCTTCGAGCACAGCACAAAAACGTTAGCCTGGGATCCGGGGCGCGAGGGGGAGGGGGGTGGCTAGTCTGTAAGCCTTTACTGGTTGTCGCTAAGATGTGGTATCCCAGCCAGCCTTCAGGAGCCAAAGCTGGGAGTGTGTTCAGTCAGCATCTGCCTTTCTGAGCCCAGCAACCTGGACCAGCCTCACTTCCTTGATTGAGGAGGGTTAGTTACCAGTGCCCTAGTTCTTGGTACTAGCAGTGTTTCCTTCATCTCCATCTCTCAACTCCCGTGGTTCTTCAATTCCCAACCCTCATTAGTTCTGTCTGCTGTTTCCTCTTTTGTGCCTGCAGACAGACAAAAACTAACAATTGATGCAGTACGTTAGTTTAGCTTCTTTACTGCCGAGTAAGTATCGGTATTTCATCAGCTCCTTAGCGCATTTACCATGTATAATATCCATTCCTTACCTCTTCAGTTCTTCCAACACCTCTTCCGTAAGGATTGAGGCCAAACAGCGTGGCCAAAATATGTTTTTCAAATTTTGAGTAGTGACCTATAAAAGAGTCACTTAATTGTGAAATCAATTTAATGGTTCATGGGCCATGAGCAACGTTAAAAAAAGAAGAAAATAGCCTGGCCAGCGTTGCCCAGGGGTTGAGCATCGACCAATGATCCAGGAGATTGCAGTTAGGGTTGCAGAATCAATCCCCGGTGGGGGGCATGCAGGAGGTAGCTGATGGATGACTCTCTCATCATTGATGATGTTTCTCTGTCTCCCTTTCCCTTCCTCTCTCTGAAATCAATAAAGACATTTTTTAAAAAAGAAGTAGAAGAAAATAGAAATATCAAGGTATACTTCTGGGTAAGAGTATTTTGTGATTTTTTTCATTTTATATGTATATTACACACATGTATGTGTTACTAGTTCACATGTATTTCTTAGTGTAGATCACTGTCAGAAAGTGTGAAGAACACTAGCAGATCAATGCTTTTATCTTCTTTTCAGTGCATAGGGTTTCTTGTGTTCCCTTAGTATTCTCTTAGTCCAAAGAACAGGTTATTACTATACTTGGTGTTCAGTGTTTTAGAAACTTTTTTTAAAATCTCAATATACACTAAAAAATTTTACCTTGTGCCCCAGACAGACACAAAGAAACTTACTATGTGTGACATGCTTTGACATTTCAATTCTATTCTAAGTTGATTTCATAACCCATTGATGGTTGAGACCTGCAGTGTAAAAAAAAAATACTGTTATAGATGGGCTTCTCAACTTAAAAGTGCTTAAGAATCACCTGGGGATCTTGTGAAAATACTTAATCTAATTCCGTGGGTCTGGAATGGAACCTGAGATTCTGCATTTCTAATATGTTCCCATGTGATGCTAATGCTCCTTGAGTAACAAGGTTCTAGATTTTATCTCTTTGAATTCATTTTTATTTAGTACTTCTCTTAAATTGTCAGTCTCCTTTCCTGAAATACTTTCTGCCTTTAAACAGGTTTCTCTGTCCTTCATTTCTCTTTTGTTTGTTTGCTACATTTCTCTATATGTTAAATACATATAAAACTGATTAGTTAGCTGTTAATTACTGTATAAACGATAGGTTTTATTGGCAGGACTCCTTTATAAATTACTCACTTTTCAACTTTCCTTTCTTCTTGGCTGACTTCTTCTATATCTCTTTCTGCAGTCCTTTACAGATCCTTCTGATTTAAATCTTCTCTTAATACTTTATCTTTCTAAAATTAAATACATCATCTTCTGTCTTAAGCCATCTCCCCAATACTCATCTCATATATTGATCCTGCAAATCTACCAGGTATCTGGAACTCAGTTCTTTGAGTCATTTTTCTCTTTTAGAACCTAATTTTTCTTACTTATTTTTGCTTGATTTTCTTTTCATTCCCATTACCCTTATTCTGGTCTGGGGTCTTATTAACTTATGTCTTTATTTATGTGTGATACCTCCAACCAGATTTTCATACAGCCATGTCCCCTCTAAAGTTTAGAGTCTAAACCAAGGCATGATATACAAAATCATAGTGTACAGATCTTTAAACTTCTTTTTCATCATATTGCTCCCTAACCCCACATCCTGCATTGGTACCCTCTTAGCAGACTACTTTGGGCAACCATTTTTGTTATCTAAGCCCTGTTTTTCTCATTCTGATAGATTTTTTTAAACATAGAATAAAACAAAGTTCTTAAGGGTTCAGTTCAGTGAGTTTTTATGGTTTTTTTTTTCTTTGTTTTATCCTCACCTAAGGATATTTTTTCCATTGCTTTTCAGAGAGAGTGGAAGGGAGAGAGAGAAGAAAGAGAGAGAGAAACATTGATGTGAAAGAGACACATCGATCGGTTGCCTCCTGCAAGCGCCCCAGACCCAGGGCTGGCGATCAAGCCTGCAACCAAGTTACGAGCCCTTGGCCAGAATCAAGCCTGGGACCATGGGCCAATGCTCTAACCACTGAGCCAAACCAGCTAGGGCAGTTCAATGAGTTTTTAACCACAGTACCTACTTATGTAACCATAAGATCTAGAACATTTTTACTACTACCCTCTAAAAGTTTCCATAGGTTAGTTTTGCTTGTTAGAACTTGGCTTCTTTCGCTCAACATTATGTCTGTTGTTAAGTGTATCTGTACTACTTGTAACTGAGTAGTATTCCATTTTGTTTATCCATTCTCCTATTGATGGATGTTTTGGTTGTTTCCAGTTTCTGGCCATTAGGAATAAGGCTTCTATGAACATTGTTATGCAAGTCTTTATGTGGACATATGTTTTTCCTTTAGATAAATACCTAGGAATGGAATTAGTGAGTCATGTGGTAGATATATATAATTTTATTTATTAAATGTATTCACTTTTAAAATTTATTGATTTTAGGGAGATAGAAACATCGATTTGTTGTTCCAGTTACTTATGCATTCATTGGTTGCTTCTTTTATGTGTCCTCACAGGGGATTGAATCTGCAACCTTGATATATTGGAATGATGCTCTAACCAACTGAGCTACCCAGCCAGGGCTTGATATATATAACTTTAAAAGAAAGTACTAAACATTTCTTCAAGGGGTTGTACCATTTTACATTCCCACCTGCAATGATTGAACATCCCAGCTGCTTTGCACCCTTGCTAACTTTTAGTCATGTCAGTCATTTTTATTTTAGCTATAATAGTGGGTGTGAAATGTTATTTTATTCAGGTTTAAATTAATGAGCTTTGATTTTCACTCACCATAGCACTTTGTCATTGCACCTTGTATTTGGACAATACTACTCAATATGGCACTTCCTTGTATATATAGGTTTGTTCTGTTATATGACTCATTGTTTCTTGGTTGTAAATCTTCACTTGAAAAAGATTGTTGGCAAAGGCTGGATCACTTAATTTTTTTTATAGCCCCTCCGGTGACTAAAGCAGTGTGTTGGGCTTAGGTTCACCGCAGACTTGTTAAATAGTATTGAATGCATTCCAGGATCACAGTGAGCAGATCTGAAAGAAGAAACCCAGTATCACATGATATATCAAGAATATCTTTTAAAATTGTTCACTTTAATTATGGACAACTTCAAACATATACAACAGCACAGAGAAAGACATAATGCACCCTTTACCCAGCTTAAAAAACTATCATTTCATGGTCAATCCTACTTATACTCACCAATTCTCCTTACCTGATGTTTTATGAAACAAATCCAAGCATGTTATTCATACATGTTTCAGTATTTAGTTGTAAAAAGGAACTCCTTGTTTCTAACATAATTATAATGATCACACCTAAAATATTAACAGTTATTTCTTGCTATCATCAAATGTACTCTGTCTCATTTATTTTTACTGTTAGTTTGAATCTGAATCCAACTACGATCATACATTGCAGTTGGTTGTTACGCATTTTTAAGCCCCTTTAATCTGTAATGCACCCTTTTCCATATTTTTTCTTGTTGAATAAACTATGTTGTTAGTCCCATAAGAGTTTCCTACGGTTTGGATATTGCTGATTACATCTTCATGTTGTCTTTTAATACATTCCTCTTCGATCTGTTTTTCTTATCAATTGGTAATAAGATCTAGAGGCTTGATTAGTCTTTTCTGTGTGTTCATGTGTGAAAATAATTCATAGGCAGTGGTGTGATATGTACTTCTTTTATGTTTTGTTAATTCTCACCTGAGGATATTTTTTTCCATTGATGG